ACATTAGAGAAGACTCATTAGAATAACAAGTTGCTTGAAGACCCTTGTGAATCAGTCAGAGAAAGTCTAAAGGAGAGGAACAAGAATGGTCAGAGATGTACAACACATGGTTAAAAAATAAAAGCTTAAACCCCACCCCCCTTGGATGGCTTTTTAGCCTCAGTTAAATTCAGGCTATTGCCAAAGGTAAGGAAGAGGACTGGCAACGTATAAAAAGCAACAGGCTTCATTTGCTGTAGGAGAGATCTAAGCTAGGTTAAGGAATATTGTACTGCCAGTAAGGCTAGGAAAGCACAGACATAGATTGCATAGGGAGTTTACTGAGTTCCCACCATGGGAGGTTGTTAGGAATATATCTTACATAAAGATGAGCTGGGGATGATAAAGGCAACAAGGAAAATAAGTAGGAGCAGAGTGTGAACTAGGTAGTAACTTTAGTCCATCTTTGTTTCCATAACGTGTTTGTTGGTGAGCTACCCCAGCTTCCCAGGTACTGAGAATGCACTTCAGGGGCTTCCCTTCTTGGCTGGGGTCCAGATGCCCCAGAAGTGAGAATCTTTGGCACTGACTTGTTCAGAAGGAATGTTTTTTCCAGGAAAAGTATTTGGAGTCATATTTCAGTGTTCTTGCCAATGTCTAAAAATATTAATTTATTTGTAATCTGGAAAGTCAAATGCTTAAGCAGTTTATTTTCCACGAAGTTCTTAGGCAGAAGAAGGAGAGTTTGCTGTTACATAACAGTTGTATAGTAAAAAGACTGCAGTACAAAATAAAACAACAAAAATGCACATAAATAGAAAAATGCCACCACATTGCCCCAGAGAAATACATATTTATGTAATTTGGAAAGCTGTTCATGGACAGTGCCGTTACATGTGTTTTATGAGATAACTGGGAGCTGTAGTAAGTATATAAATATTATGAACATCTCAACAGTTTTGATGGATGGACCACTCATTGGATAAGGAACTGGCTGAATGGTTGCACCTATGGAGTTGTGATCTATGGCTTGATGTCCACATGGAGACATGTCAAGTGGTGCTTCTCTAGGGTCTGTACTCAGACCAGTGCTCTTCAGCATCTTTGTTGGTGACATGGACAGTGGAATTGAGTGTGTTGTCAGCAAGTTTGCTGATGGCACCAAACTGTGTGGTGAAGTCAACACACTGGAGGGAAGGGAGGCCATCCAGAGGGACCTTGACAGGCTGGAGAAGTGGGCTCATGCTAACTGCATGAAGTGCAAGGTTGTGCACTTGGGTTGAGGCAGTCCCATGTATGAATACAGGTTGGGAGGAGTAAGGATGGAGAGTAGCCCAGAGGCGAAGGACTTGGGGTGATGGTGGGTGAGAAGCTCAACATGACCCATCAGTGTGCACTTGCAGCCCAGAAAGACATCTGTATTCTGGACTGTATCAAAAGAAGTTTGGCCAGCTGGTTGCCAGGGGCAATGGTTTAAAACTTGAAGAGGTGAGATTTAGATTAGGTATTAGGAGGAAATTCTTTGTTATGAGGGTGGTGAGACACCGGCACAGGTTGCCCAGGGAGGTTGTGGAAGCCCCATCCCTGGCAGTATTCAAGGCCAGGTTGGATGAGGCTCTAAGCAACCTGATCTACTGGGAGGTGTCCCTGCCCATGCAGGGCTGTTGGATCTAGGTGATCTTTAAGGCTTCTTCCATCCTTAAGCTTTCCATTGATTCTATGATTCTGTGATCTTTTTCTAGTTTTCAGAAAAACCTTAGGTCAGCTGTGGGTTATGACACCATATTCCTGTGTGTCATGTAAAGAAGTTGCAAACATGTTCTGAAGCTAGTTAGCTGCTAAACTACTTCACTTTGGATAAGAGCAAACCACATCTGCCCCACCTGCCCACAAAGGGCTCAGACCACAGCCCAAATATTTTTATTCATCAAATCAATACTTGAAGACCACCTCAAATAAAATTTTGAGTTTCTTTAAACACTTTAGCTTAAGGTTGCAGAATACCTTTGCTTGAAGGCTTACTAAAAATCATGCCTGTTTTTCCTTCCTCTAACTGAGCTTACCTTTGAATATTGTATACAGCTGGATGTGGATTAGCACTTATTTTAAACTATTTTATCATGTTTGTTTAATCAGAATAACCTTGTGCTATTTTCAGTGCTTTCTGTGGGACAGAACAGAGATTTAAACAAGTTATTATTATCCAGCATCAAGACTGACTGAAACACTTGTGTGTACTTTCAGTTTTTTGTCATATCCGTTAGTAATTTTTTATTCTCTTAGGACTTGCATGAAAATGGGAAGTACTACTATCCCTGTGGTACAGATGAGACAGTTGCACAGAGGAACTTAAAATAGTATCATGAATATCTATATTCTTAATATATTTATTTCAGTATGAAAAGGTATCTGGATACTGTCAGATGAATCAAAGTAATTTATGTTAATATTATTACAGATCCTTGTTATACAAGAATTCTTATGTGTACTGTAATACCTGTGCATGTATTTAAATGAATGTGCTTCTGACAACTTCAGATAAGAAAATGTTTCTAAATATGTGAGCAGATCTTGAGATTTAGTTACCTTTCTCCATCTCGTAGTTTTATTGAAAAATTAATTCCTTAGATATTTTGGAAATTTCAGCTCTGTTAAGTAAGTGATTGCTAATCTAAGTTTTATTCAGGTCCATTTGAAACTCTTTAACTCTTTGGAGGACTTTTATAAGCACATAGATAAGTAAACTTTCACTGTAAGTAACCAAATTCATAATGGAAGCCAAGGCTTGTGGGTTTTTTTTGTTTTTGTTTTTTTTTCTGTGTGTGTGTGACACACTGTTTGTGTAACTTAACTGCCTTCCTCTTATCCTTTAAAAAATACACAAGATACTGTATTTATGCACAAATGTTGCTATTTGTTTCCTAACTTCCCTTACTGTTTGCAAGTTTCAGGAGGTTTGTCGATCTTGAGGCAGTGACACAAGGTGGCCAGTAAGGATGATGTTCCTATAGTTAATCCCTTTTCACTTTGTATCTTTCACTGGGTGTTGCAACTGCTGAAGTGGCATCTCTAGTTATCTTTTCCTGTTTCGATCTGCTTTGAAGAAGTTCTACTCTAAAGACTTATTGCATAAAAATAGCATTCCCTTACTCAACAAAACGTCTAGTCCCTTTTTAATTCTACCTTACCTGCTGACAGCAGTGGAAAATACAAACTTTCCATTTTTCTTCTTGTCTTGTTTGACTTGCAGAGGCAAAAGTTTCTGTTCAAACTAATACGTTGTGAACTCTGGGTCGGTGCTCAGCAGTTCTCTTCTGCTCCATAAGTGTATTGTACTTTAGTATATGCGTGAATTCACTTGTGATATTATGCCTCTTGATAATGTGCAAGCTTTGCAGAACAGGAATGGACACAAGCTTGTAAGCTTTGCTCTTTGCAATCCTCAGCTACAGTGAGCCTGGCTTTGAGTCCTTCTCAGACTTTTTTTCCAAGAATAAACATGTACTGAAAACTGCTTGACAATGCTAGTGTGGGTACCAGTCATTACATAGCTGCAGTCATAAAAAAAGTATTTTTTTGCTCTTAGGTATTCAACATGTGTCAGTTTTTAACCCCCCACCCCCAATAAGCAGATAAAATTACCATAAGTTAACATCTTCAGCTGACATATAAGCAGAAATTCTTCACCTGTTCCTTTTTGTGGACCGAGTGTATACAACTGTTTAATTACAACAGTCCACTTGACCCATGGCAGCTTGTTAAACCCTCATATCTTGAGGGTGTGTGTCTGAACCCTGTTTATAGTTTAAACAATTACAGAGAAGGAAGATAAAGGATTGAACTGACTGATTTAAAGCAATGATAGAGTTCATAAGTTTCTGTGAAATCAACTAATAGGTTGGCTAAACCCAAAGCTGCAGTAGCTTAATAGGCAGTATGTTTTTAAGCTGATTTTTTTTTTTTTTTTAATTGGTACAAAAACTGTGGGTGTTCTTATTTCAAGATAATTAAGGTAACTCTGGATGAACTTCAGTTAATTAGCAGCAAGTTTACACTAAACTGAATATGTTGTTTTTATGAAATAAGAATCTATAAGGAAATATCTATATTAAAAAAGTCTAGTTCATACGAACAATGGACCCTTTATGTAAAATTAATCTTTCAGTTTACTACTTCTATCACTACAGTCAGTTTTACACATTTCAATTTCATTATTAAAAAAAGGCTAATGATTACTCTGGTTATTACCCAAATCTCTAGTTTGGGTAAAAGTTACTGAACTGGATTAATATTAACTTCACAAATATTCTAGGTGTTTCCAATCCAGTGAAATCTGAGGTTATGTTGAGTGGGGGTTTTGTTTGGTTTTTTTGTTTATTTAGTTATCTGCCTTAAAAAAGGTACTTATTTATAGACATGTAAAGGTAGATTTCTAAGGTGAGGTTTTTTTCCTGTTATGTTGATGTCTGCTCTTACAAAAATGTCAGTTTTCTAGTGTACTAGTTTGCAAGTATGTAATAATTTTAGGCTATTGATGTTGTCACTTTGATGAGCACTTGTATATCAATATGATAATTCCTGAACCAAGCTGATTTGTGAGAGATGAGATTGTAGTGAAGCATTTATTTTCTAAATCATAAATGCCTCATATAACTATGTTTTTGTGATGAAAGTTTATTTATTCCAAAGTTTATTTATTCCTTGTGAAACATTAAAAAATAGTATACCTTGTAATTTCCAAGGTCTTCTTCCCTTAATCTCTCAGTGCCTTTATCCATAAGAGGTTATTAAGCTTTATTACTATAGTGTTTACATGTTTTACTGGAACTAAGATTTTACCTCTGCCCTAACAGCTTTGCTCTAATTCTGTCCTAGGGCATGGGAAATTAACTTAATCTGTCTGACACTGCCTACCATCTGGTTTATGTTGTATGATCTCCACATTCTGTATTACTGTTAGATAAAATCCAGGTGAGCAGTTGAGTGTTGGGTTATATCTGTGCATTTTTCTGTCAACCCAGAAAGAACATTCTTCGATTCTTGGATGCTGAAAGAGATGTCTCAGTGGTGAAAAGCAGCTTCAAGCCAGGAGATGTAATCCATTATGTACTGGACAGGCGTCGCACCCTAAATATTTCTCAGGATCTGTACAACCTTCTCCCTGAAGTTTCCCCAATGAAGAATCGCCGATTTAAAACATGTGCTGTTGTTGGGAATTCTGGCATCCTTCTGGACAGTGGATGTGGAAAAGAGATAGATAGCCGTGACTTTGTAATAAGGTAAGTTTTTATCTGCTGCTGAAGATACTGCCTACCATGTTTCTTGGACTAAAACTGGGAGAACTGTTTTAATTTAGGATACATATTTTAGACCTCTGCTCTGAAAACAGGCTAAGAAAATCAAGGCTGTTCTGCCTAGAGAAGAGAAGGCTCTGGGGAAACCTTATAGCAGCCTTCCAGTACCTGAAGAGGGCCTATAGGAAAGCTGGGGAGGGGCTTTTCATCAGAGAAGATAGTGATAGGACAAGGGGTAATGGTTTTAAACAGAGAGAGGGGAGATTTAGGTTAGATACTAGGAAGAAATTCTTCACTATAAGGGTGATGAGGAACTGGAATGGGTTGCCCAGGGAAGTTGTTGATGACCCATCCCTGGACGTTTTTAAGGCCAGGTTGGATGAGGTTTTGTGCAACCTGATCTAGTGGTAGGGTTCATTGCTTATCACAGAATCACAGAATCTTAGGGGTTGGAAGGGACCTCGAAAGATTGTCTAGTCCAACCCCCCTGCCAGAGCAGGATCACCCAGAGCACATCACACAGGAACATGTCCATGTGGATTTTGAATGTCTCCAGTGAAGGGGACTCCACAACCTGTCTGGGCAGCCTGTTCCAGGGCTCTGTCACTCTCACACTAAAGAAGTTTTTTTCTAATGTTTACGTGGAGCCTCCTATGTTCCACTTTGCAGCCATTGCCCCTTGTCCTATCACTGGACATCACTGAAAAAATCCTGGCTCCATCCTTCTGACACTCGCCCTTAACATATTTGTAAACATTGATGAGGTTGCACCTCAGTCTCCAAGCCCAACAGACCCATCTCCCTCAGCCTTTCCTCATCAGGGAGATGTTCCACTCCCTTCATCATCTTTGTGGCTCTGCACTGGACTCTTTCAAGCACTTCCCTGTCCTTCTGGAACTGAGGGGCCCAGAACTGGAAACAATATTCCAGAAGTGGCCTCACCAAGGCAGAAGACAGGGGCAGGAGAACCTCTCTTGACCTACTAACCACACTCTTT